GGAGGGGAAGGGGAGATGAGGAGGAAGAGGAGGAGGAAGGATGGGGGGATGGGAGGGGAAGGGGAGATGAAGAGGAGGAGGAAGGATGGGGGACGGGAGGGGGAGGGGAAGGGGAGATGAGGAGGAAGAGGAGGAGGGCAGGTGGAGGAAGAGGAGTCCACGGGTGGAGCCCAGGGCTCTGTGCTCCCAGCACCTAAGTGCGGGGACCAGGGGCAGCGGCCACATGAAGGCCCGAGAGGCGGTGGGGAAGGGCGGGCTTCTGTGTGAGCCGGGGCGCTACCTGGTGAAGATGGGGCTCGCTGGGCGGGGCTGAGAGCGCAGCGCCCCTGCCCTGCTGGTCTCTCTGCTCGCCTCCACCCTGCGAGGGAGGAGGAGCCTGCTGGAGGGGGCTGGGGGGTGGCCCCCGTGCATGATGACCAGTGACTGGTGCTTCTGGCCGCGCCCCGCCCCCCCGCGGGCTGCCAGGGAAGGGCACAGACCCCGCACCACGGGCAGTGCTTACGGGGGCAGTGCCCTGGGCACCCTTGGCTCGGCCTGGGGGCTTCAGGCCGCTGCCCCCACGAGCCTTGTTCCTCGCATGGCTGCCGGGATCTTCACACTTGCTGGGGGTGTAGAACTCTCCTCCCAGCTGGATGCACTTCTTGGAGCCCCCTGGGAAGATCACGCAGGTCCTCGGGCCCTGCCTTCCACAGGTCCCACCAGAACCTCTGACAGGACCCCGCCTAGAGATGGCACCTCTGCAGATGGGTTGGTGACAGTGGCGTCACACAGGGCAGATGGCCGGTGGAGGCCTGGAGAGCTGTAGCCTGTGACCCAGCGGCCCCCATCCACGTGGAGGGGGGACGCCACGCAGCACCCATCCACGTGGGGGGGACGGGGGACGCCACGCTGGGGGGGCAGGAGCTGCTGGCCTGGTAGAAGTCCCCCCTCCGGGGAAGGGCCCCATGTCTGCAAGCCGAGCAAGGGCAGCAGAGGCTGCAGCTGAAGTCCCCCTCCTCCCTCCCCCTTTCTCTCCCTCCCTCTCCCCCTCCCCACACTCCTACCTGACTCGAACACCTGCTGGATGAGGATCCCCTCCACGGCCCCACGGGCTCCCGAGATGTCCCCCGAGGACATGGCCACCGCTCTCTGGACTGAAGTGGACATGGCGTGGATGCCTGAGGAGGGGAGTCCCTGGGTGACAGCTGTCCGGCGGACAGGGAGGCAGGGAGGTAGCCGCAAGCCCAGCCTGGGCCAGAGTCCCCTCTTCCTTGGGATGGGGCGGGCTGTGGGGCCCAGATCACTGTGCACGGCCACCTCAGGCAAGTGCAGAGCCAGCCTGCAAGCATGTGCATGCACACATGCGAGTGTGCTCATCTGCAGGCCGCACACGTGTGCAGGTGTGCTGGTGTGCGTGCGGTGCCAGCAGAGCTGAGCTCTGTGACATCGCAGGACTCACTTGGGTGGCGTACAGTTCCCACACTGACTCAGGCCAGGCAGGATGGGGCAGACCAGAAGGGCACAGACCTCATCCAGTAAGGCTGGTCCGCACGGACTCTGAGACTGGACCGGCCCTGAGGTGTGGACGGAGGTGGGGAGGTCCCGCAGGGGCCGGGGAGTGGCTGATGAGAGTCCTGCTTTAATCTTTTCGGGTCTTTCATCTCATCTCTTCAGTTGAGGCTGAAGCGGGCCTCGTTCTCGAGACAGGCCTCCGTCCCTCCCCTCCTCCTCCCACCCCGTCACCCCTGCTCACCAGACCCCAGCAGCTGCGGCTCCAAGTTTCCCTCTGGCTTCTTGGGGGGCTTGGCTTTTGGCTGGGAACCTGAAGGAAGAGCCAGAGGCAGCCTGCTGGCCTCTCCCACCGGCCTCTCCCACTGGCCTCTCCCTCTGAGCTTCTCCCTCCGAGCCTCTCCCTCTGAGCCTCTCCTGCTGGATTCTCCCGCTGGCCTCTCCCACCGGCCTCTCCCACCAGCCTCTCCTGCTGGATTCTCCCACTGGCCTCTCCCGCCGAGCCTCTCCCACTGGCCTCTCCCTCTGAGCTTCTCCCTCCGAGCCTCTCCCTCTGAGCCTCTCCTGCCGGCCTCTCCTGCTGGCCTCTCCCACCAGCCTTTCCTGCTCAGCCTCTCCCAGCCGGGGAGGAACTGGGGGGCCCATGAGGGAGGGGCGGGGACTCCTTGACTCTGGGCACTGTTCTACTCCTCTGTAAGAAGGATACAGAAGCTGCCTGCCTGCCTGCCTTGCCCAGGAAAGCTCTGCCCTTGAGGTAGAAGGGCCCAAGAAATGGCCAGCCTGCCGGGTGTGTGGGTCTAGGACTGAGGGGCCCCTCCGGTGGGGGATGGCAGCAGGGAGGCCCCGGGGCTGTGGGGGCAGAGCTGCCCCAGGGACTGGCTCCTCCCCTCTCCCCTCCCCGTACCTGGGCTGGAGGTGCCCCTTGGGGTGGGGGCTGCGGGCGAGACAGCTCGCGGCTCCTCCGGGACCTTCCTCTTGGTGGGGGGTCGGGGAGGCAAGGCCGAGGCCTTGGGGCTGGTGGCGGGGGGCTTCCGGCCCCTCCTGGGCTGGCTGAGGTCCACATCTGCAGCTCGTAGAGAGGAGCTGTGTCTGTCCTCAGGCCCTCCCCTCAGGACCCCAGAACCAGCACCGTGGGGGGGCCTTTGCCCTCGGCCTGGGAGAGTCTGAGTCATGGGTCACCAGACCCCACCCCCATCTTTCCTCTCACACCACGGGGTCCCATGGCTGGGTCCCAGCGGGGTCACCTCTGGGAAAGCTGTCCAGGATAGGCTGCAGCCGGCTGTAGCGCTCTAGGTTGAAATCCTTGAAGAGAACCTTCCAGAAGTCGAGGACGGCCCCTCCATCCTGGGTCAGGAGCCAGGACAGAAGGGCATGGAAGGCCTGAGGGCAGCCCTCCTTCTCCTGCAGGCGAAGGGTCTCCTGCAGCAACAGGGTCCTTGTGGCTCCCCGACCGCACCCCTGCCGCCCCTCAGGCCCCAGGCCCAGGGCTGCAGAGACCCAGCCCCCCTTCCCTCCCCAGGCCCCAGGCCCAGGGCTGCAGAGACCCAGCCCCCCCCTCCCCATGCCCTCCTCAGGCCCCAGGCCTGGGGCTGCGGAGACCCAGCCCCCCGTTTCCCCCTCAGACCCCAGAACCAGGGCTGCGGAGACCCAGCCCCCCCGTGCCCTCCTGGGCTCATGGCATGGCATGCCAGGGTATCAAGCTGAGCAAGCAGGAGATGTGCCTAGAACCTGGCCCAGGGTGTCCCCTGGGGACCTGGGGCTGGGCAGTGGGCTCATCTGGAACTTTCTTCAGGAACAGGTCCCTGGCTCTGGATGGAGGAGTGGAGACCTGGAAGAGCCAGGCACTTGCAGCTCGCTCTGGGGCCCGGCCTCTGCTGTGGGGCGGGGGGGGAGGGGGCGCACCTGGAACTTGTTCTCGGGAACCACACCGTGGTCAGCCAGTGCGTGCAGCAGCGGGAAGGCGCTGTCCACAGCCACGGCGATCTCGGTGCGGTGCAGCCGCAGGAGGTGGCGCAGGGCATCCCCAACGGCTCTGGCCTCGCCAGCCATCGACTGGAGGTCAGGCCCTGCGGGCCTCCGTGCCCCACGGGCCTCTCCCAGCCCCGGCCTGCCGCAGTCGCGGGATCTCACGGCTCTGCGGAGTGTCTGGCAGCGTCTCGGGGTGTCACGGGCCCTGCGGGGTGTCTGAAGGCAGTCTCGGGGTGTCAAGGGCCCTGTGGGGTGTCTGGTGGCAGTCACAGGATCTCACGGCCCTGCGGGGTGTCTGGCGGCGTCTCAGGGTGTCATAGGCCATGCGGGGTGTCTGGCGGCGTCTCGGGGTGCCACGGGCCCTGCGGGGTGTCTGAAGGCAGTCTCAGGGTCCCACAGGCCTTGTGGGGTGTCTGCTGCAGTCTTGGGGTCTCACGGCCCTGCGAGGTGTCTGGCGGTCATCCTGGTGGAGCAGCATGCACACAGCGAGCCCCGGCAGGCAGCGCTGTTATACCACCCCAGCTGGGAAAGAGCAAAGGCCCCGGGCCAGGAGCCAATGCGGTGGCTTCTTCAGGACAGGAGTGAGGACAGCGTTGTGGCCCAGCACAGAGACGGTGCCCCCCCTCCCCCCCCCCCGCCAGCAGCTGGTCTTCTTCTCTTCCGCACCAAGCTGCAGGGGGGAGGGGGAGAATGGGGTTGGACTTTCCCTCCTGCTCTCCTTGTTCCTGGGTCAAAAGCACATGGAGGAGCTGCCACCTCTGAGCGACCACAGTAAGGAATCTACCCCAGGGGAAAACTGGGGCGGCCCCGCTGGGAGCCCCCTGGGAGCCCCCCACGCAGCCCGGAGGGCCCCCCACCCCCGTCGGACCCGGGGCCGTAGGCACAGTGTGGTGGAGGGCTCCAGTCTGACACGTGGAGAGTGCTGGCAGCAGCCCTGCAGGGCCCAGGCCCAGACGCCCCGGGCCTCACCCTCCCTGGCTGTGCAATGCCCAGAAAACCCCTCTCCCTCACCTCCCCAAGGTGAGCATGTAACAGGACCCCCGGCCAAGCGTAATAGAAAATGAAGCCACGAGAAGATGACGGACCGGGGCTCTCAGACCCCTTCCTCATTCCCACCGCAACCCGGGCACCTCTGGGCAAAGGTGCTAGGGGGAGCCGGACATTGGTGATCACGCCTGTCACCCAAGCTACTCAGGAGGCTAAGATCTGAGGATCGCAGTTTGAAGCCAGTCCAGGCAGGAAGGTCCAGGAGACTCTGATCCCCAATGAACCCCCGACAGAGTGGAGCTGTGGCTCATGTAGCAAAGCTCTAGCCTTAAACAAAGCAGCTCAGGACAGCGTCCAAGCACTGCGTTCAAGCCTGGAGGAAAGTGCTAAGGAGGCATCCGGTTCTCAAGGACGGTGGCTGCGGAGGGACACCAGGGCCTGGGGTCTGTAGGCGTAGGGAGGCCAGGCTGGACGGGAGGCAGTTTGGTGAGGGGCATCGCCAAAGCTTCCCAAATGGTGGGCTGTGCGCTGAGCAGTGAGCAAGGCGAGCAGGCCCGGGCCCTCCTAGCCCCTCCTCTGCCCACAGGCCCCCAAGGGCTCACGCCAGAGCAGGGCTCAGGGGCCAGAACCAGAGGCCGTGGCCAGGGAAGTCGGGCCCAGGACTGGTGCCGGTCCCTCAGCAGCCATGTTGTGCTTAGCACTCTTGGCTGGGAGGCCATGGACGCTGGCCTCCCGCTGACTCACAGTCACGGGGAAGGCTTGGCGACCCGGAGATGACCTGCCTCACCGGACCCCTACCCGCCGGGCCCCCTGTCGCCTCCCGTGGGCTGTGTCTGCTGCAGAAGCATGAGCACACGCTCCGGCCACCCAAGCCCAGCACCCGGCGTGGCTCCCGCAGCTCCCGTGGACGGGCGGACCGGGGTCTCTGGAGCACAGAGAGCGCTCCGGATCCCCCGAGAAGACCCTCAGCGGTCTCCAGAGCTGGCCCATCACGGCCTCATGATGTGATCTTGATGACCAGAGCGTGTGGCACGCAGCTGGTCCCTGTCTTTGGGTCACAGCCTGCAGCCTAGGGGGTTCGTTCACTGGTGAGGACAAAGCAACAGACAAAGGGGCATTAAAAATCACCACACACACGTGCACACATGCACACACATGCGCACGCGCGTGCACACACATACATGTGCACACACATGCACACACAGACACGCACACACGCAAACATGCACACAGGCACACATGCACATGCACACACGCGCACACACATGCACGCACACACATGCGCGCACACACTCGACCAAGACTTACACTTTGCTTTTGAATAACCGCAGGCAGCTGTCCCGGGCCTCTGGCAGCTCCAGCCCTCCCACCCCGTAGAATTTCGGACTTTCCAGCCCCGCGCTGCGGGGGTTTCCGGCAGGTGATCCACTCAGTCCCTGAGGGGGCCGCTCTGGCAACCCCGTCTCCTGCCGGGCCCGTCCTGCGGTGACCACAGCCCGGGCCCCAGCGCGCCCACCTCTCTTGACGCGCTGAGGGGCAGAGAGCAAAGGCAGCTGCGGCTCAGCTGAGGCTCCAGGCCCCGCTGTGTGGAGAGGAAATGGGCAGAAAACACCAAAACACCCTCGGCGCCTGGCCGACCACGCTAGCCGGGCTGGAAGTTTTGACCTTTTCCTGGTTATTATGAAAGGTGATGCACGGTGGGTCCCCGCTTCGTGAGTCAGGCAGAGGGGACACTCGGCGCTCGCTCTCGCGTAGGCTTTCCCTCCCATCCCACTCACAAGTGCCAGCGTCCATGTTCAACCTAGTGTCCAGTGAGCGCTGCTGCTGCATCTGTTCAGCGTTGGTCCCTCCTCTTCTGTCCTCCCTTCACACTCCCAAAGACAGATGAACGAACAAACAGGACAAAAAGAGTTTAAGAAAACATGAACAGCAAGAAAAGAGAAAACGTCTGTTTTCGTTTCCTTAAACATGACTTTGTATGATCAGATGCAGATAGCGTTGTGTCTTTCTTGTGTGTGTGTCTAGAGTCCTGTACAACGTACCATGTCCTGGTGTATTTTAGATCTCGCTTCTACAGATGAGAGAAAACACGCACTGTCTCTCTGAGCTAGGCTTACCTCACGGAACATGATTTGTTCTAGATCCATCCCATTCTCCTGCAAATGACACAATATTATTCTTTCTAATGGATGAGCACAATTCCATGCTGTATATGTACCATGTATTATTGAACACTCATTTGTTGTAGGGCATCTGGGCTGTTTCTATAAGTTGGCTACTGTGAGCAGTGCAGCAATGAACATGGGTGTGCAGGTGTCTTCGTGGTCTCCTGGCTTGTGATGTTCTCAGTAGATGCACGGGGTGGCCTGACTGGTCAGGGCTGGAATTTTTCATAATTTTCATCATGCTTCTACAGTACTTTTATGTTAAACTTAGGAAACTAAAACGTGCACACTGCCTATCAAAATAGCGAAGAACTGGCAGAAATCGCCAGCACTCACACTTTAAGGATTTGTTATTGGGGGCTGGGAAGGTGGCTCAGTGGTAGAGTGCTTGCCTTGCATGCCTGAGGCCCTGGGTTCGATTCCTCAGCACTACATAAGCAAAAAGAAAAAAGCCAGAAGTGGCGCTGTGGCTCAAGTGGTAGAGCGCTAGCCTTGAGCTGAAGAGCTGAGGGACAGCGCCCAAGTCCAGAGTTCAGGCCCCACGACTGGACCCAAAAAAAAAAAAAGGATTTGTTATTGTTGGATTTTGCTATGTTGCCAGGCCAGCCTCAGGCCACTGGACCCCACAGTCCTCCTGCCCCAGCCTCCTGAGTGGCTGGACCACAGGCCTGCACCACAGAGCCCCCCAAGCACTGGCATTTTCAAAAAGTGAGGGAAATGTATACTATATTCCTGGGCTTAACTTCTTGAAGTTTTTCTGTGTGTGTGTGTGTGTGTGTGTGTGTGTGTGCACGCGCACGCATGCGCACAGGTCCTGGGACTTGAACTTAGGGCCTGGGCTCTGTCCTGAGCATCATTGCTCAAGGCTAATGTTCTACCACGTGAGCCACATTCCTTTTCAGCTTTTTGGCTATAAGATATGAGTTGGAGATAAGAGTCTCATGGACTGGCCACCAGTGCCTGGTCTCCTTTTTTTCCCTCCTCCTTCATGATGATACTTTTTTTTTTTTTGGTCAGTCGTGGGGCTTGAACTCTGGTCCTGGGCGCTGTCCCTCAGCTCTTCAGCTCAAGGCTAGCGCTCTACCACTTGAGCCACAGCACCACTTCCAGTATTCTGCTGGTTTATTGGAGATAAGTTTCACAGACTTTCCTGCCCAGGAACAACTCCATAACAAACACATTTTTTGGTTGGTTGGTCGGTCAGTCGGTCGTGGGGCTTGAACTCTGGGCTTGGGCGCTGTCCCTCAGCTCTTCAGCTCAAGGCGAGCACTCTACCACTTGAGCCACAGAGCCACTTCCAGTTTTCTACTGGTTTATTGGAGATAAGAATCTTACGGACTTTCATGCCTGGGCTGGCTTTGAACCACAATCCTCAGATCTCAGCCTCCTGAATAGCTAGGATGACAGGCGTGAGCCACCGGTGTCCACTTCATGTTGATACTTGGATTTGAACTCTGTAACTCATGCTCTTGCTTGGCTCTTCTAATCCAGGCTGGTTCTCTACTGCTCGAACCATGCTTCTACTTCCAGCTTTTTGCTTCATTGGAGATAAGAGTCTCATGGGCTTTTCTGCAGGGCTGGCTTCGAGCTGCCATCCTAAGGTCTCAGGTTGAGCTACCAGTGCCCAGCCGACTCCTGACTATGGAAGTGCATATATAACCTGACCCAAATAATAAAGTGCAGCCTCCCACTGGGTGCTTGAGACCACACAGAGGCGTGGCGGGGAAGGCAGATACAGTGCCAAGGCTCAGGCCGGGTGCAGGCCGCCGCTCCCTGGCGGGGGCAGCTGGCTTCTGAGCCGCGTTTATTGGAGGCCGTCTTCCGTGCACTCGAGGTCCATCATGCTCCCACTCGGGCTGTGTTTCCGGCTTCCCGGCCTCCTGGCCCCCGGCCTCCCCTCTGGAGTCCACAGCAGTCAGGTGTGGCTCCTGGCTGGGCCAGGGACAGGGAGCTCATCTGGCAGGGCGGGTGCTGGAGAGCGCCACGGCGGCGCAGGCCCACGGCGGGCCCCTCACGGGCACTCTGGGTCTCGGGGCCCCTCACGGGCACTCTGGGTCTCGGGGCCCCTCACGGGCACTCTGGGTCTCGGGGCCCCTCACGGGCACTCTGGGTCTCGGGGCCCCCGTCACCCGGCTGAGGGGAGCGGCCAGCGTCTGCCGTCCATGAGCCCTCGGCGGAGGACGCCCCAGTGCACACACGGGGTGGGGCAGCTTCCCCATGTGCACCCCATGATAGCCCCCTGGTGCGGGAGTGAGCTCACCACCAGCTGCTCTGACCTTTGACTCACCCCAGGGCTCCTTCCCAATCCCTGCCCACCACCACCCCTGCTCCCCTTGATACCCTGCATCCTGGCCCCAAGGTCCACCCCGAAAGCCCCCCAGCCCCCGCACTCCTCACCTACCCTCAGAGCCCCACCCAACCTGCCCTCAGCACATCTGCGGATGCAATCTCCTCCCACATGGCCACCCCCACCCCAGCCCAGCAACCGCCCGGCCCCCGCCCCCGCTCCTCGCCCCACCCCCTCCACCACCTGAGCCCCCAAGCTCCGCCCCCAAGCCCCCGCCTACACCTCCACTTCCTGGCTAACCCAGGGCCTCCCTTCTGACCCAGCGCTGAGCCCTCTCCCCTCCCCCCTGCCCTCCTCCCTCTCCCCTCCCCCCTGCCCTCCTCCCTCTCCCCTCCCCCCCTGCCCTCCTCCCGGCCCAGTATCCCCAGGAGCTCACCCCTCATCCACTGTTCCTCCGCCACCCACCACTCCTGGGAACCCCGGCCTGCGCCCGCAGCTCCTCCGCCATGGCCCTCTCCTCCCCAACCAAGCCCAGCCTGGAGGCCCTGGGCAGCTCCAGCCCTGGCCCTGGGGCCCGCCACGTGGGTACGAGGCGGTGGCTACAGACCTTCCTCCTCTCCTCCTCCTCTTTTCCTCCTCCTCTCCTCTCCTCCTCCTCTTCTCCTCCCCCTCCTCCTCCTCTCCTCCTCCTCTTCCTCCTTTCCTCCTCATCTTCCTCCTCTCCTCCTCCTCTTCCTCCTCTCCTCCTCTCTATTCTCCTCCTCTTCTCCTCCCCCTCCTCCTTCTCTTCTGCTCCTCCTCCTCTCCTCCTCCTCCTCCTCTTCTCCTTTTCCTCCTCTTCTTCCTCCTCGTCTTCTTGTATTTTTTCTGGTCATGGGGCTTGAACTCAGGGCCTGTCCCCGAGCTCTCCCTGCGCTCTTCAGCTCCACTCCACCTCTTTGAGCCACAGCTCCACTCTCAGGGTTTCTGGTGGTTCATTGGAGATAAGAGTCTCACAGAGGGGCTGGGAAGGTGGCTCAGTGGTAGAGCACTTGCCTTGCTATGCCTGAGGCCCTGGGTTCAATTCCTCAGCACCACATAAGCAAGTTCAAGTGGTAGAGCTCTAGCCTTGAGCTGAAGAGCTGAGGGACAGCGCCCAGGCCCAGAGTTCAGACCCCACGACCGGACCCCCCCCCCAAAAAAAAGAGTCTCACGGACTTTCCTGCCCAGGCTGGCTTTGAACCGGGATCCTCAGGTCTCAGCCTCCTGCGTAGCTCAGATTATGGGTGTGAGACACAGGTGCCCATCCTCCCCCTCCTCCTCTCAACCCCCCTCCACCCCACCCCCGGCTGTCTCCAGGCCAGAAGCACTGTGAGAGGCGGGCGGAGGAAGGGGAGGAAGGGGAGGGCCCCACAGACCCCGGGTCCTTGGTGTCTCAGGAGGACGTGGCCGGCGAGGCCGGGCCGGCGGTGCCCGACCCCCGGGCTGAGCTGCCAGTGGCGCTCAGCAGAGCTGACAGCTTGTGTCCCCAGCTCTGGGCCTGGAAGCCGGGGACAGCACGGACGTCATCCTGGTGGGCTCCACGGAGGCTCTGCGCGCCGCGTCCCCCCCGCCGGGCAGAGGTGAGTCCCGCCCAGCCCACCACCGCTGCACGCACTGCGCACGCTGGCAGAGGCAGGGCGGGACCCCAGGACGAGACTCCGGAGACCTCGGCCACGATCGGCCACGATCGGAGTGGGAGGCCAGAGGAACAGACCCCTCCCGCCTTCTTTTCCAGACCTCATTGCCTACGAAGTCACCGTGAACCAGCGGAACATAGAAGGTGAGTGCCAGCTTGCTCATGCCAGGCGTGGGGGTGTGCATGCCACACAGGGTATTCACACCACACGGGGTGCCCATGATTCACGGGGGTGTTCAGGCCATACGCGGTGTGTGCACAGTGCATGGAGGGCACCTGTGATGTGTGGGGGTGTTCATGCCTCACGAGGGCTATTCACGCCACACGGGGTGTTCACACTGCAGGGAGGGTGTTCACGCCACATGGGGGTATTCACACCACACAGGGGCTGCCCGTGACACATGGGGGTGTTGATGCTGCACGGGGGTGTTGACGCCACATGGGGGTGCCCATGATGCATGGGGATGGTCACACCTCACAGGGGGTATTCACGCCACACGGGGTGTTCACACCGCAGGGAGGGGGGTCACGCCACACGGGTATTTACACCTCACAGGTCTGCCCGTGATATATGGGGGTGGTCACACTGCACAGGGGTATTCATGCCACGCACGGGGAGGGTGTTCACACCACACGGGGTGTCCTCGACCATGGGGACGTCCACGCTGCACAGAGATGTCCATGCCACTCCAGGGGTGTCCGCGACGCACAGGGGCGCCCGCCCTGCCCGGGTGCCCGCGCCTGAGGAAGACTTCCTCCCTGTCATCAGAAGGTGCCGGCAAAGGCGCTGGTGCCGCAGCGCCCGTGCCCCCCCCGCGGCTCCGTTTAAGGGGTGTGGGTCTTCAGCTCTTTTTTCTTTTTGGCACCGCACTAGTTTTTGAACTCCTGGCTTCAGGTGGGCCCGGCGGGCGCTCTACCGCGGAGCCACGCCTCCCTCTGGTCATTTTTGCGATGGGGTCACTCCCTGCCCGTGTGCGCCTCCGCCTCCCTCTGCCTGTTTCAGGGTGTCTACCACAGCCGGGGTGGCGGCAGGCGTGTGGCACGCCGCCCAGCCTCCCTCCCCGAGACAGAGCTCCAGGCAGGCCTGGAACCATGGCCTTTCCAATCCCAGCCTCCCACAGGTGCGTGTCACCACACCAGCTGCGGCGGAGCAAACTTGCTCCTGTGCCTGGGTGGCCGCGCAGTGACCCTCCTGTTCTCAGCCTCCCAGATTGCTATGGTGACCCCGAGAGCCACAGCCCCCAGTGACTTCTTAAAACGTGTGTTTGCAGGGCTGGGAAGGTAGCTCAGTGGTAGAGCGCTTGCCTTGCATGCCTGAGGCCCTGGGTTCCATTCCTCAGCACCACATAAGCAAAAAGAAAAAAGCCGGAAGTGGCGCTGTGGCTCAAGTGGTAGAGCGCTAGCCTTGAGCTGAAGAGCTCAGGGACAGCACCCAGGCCCAGAGTTCAGGCCCCACGACCGGAACCCAAAAAAAAAGTGTTTGCAGTGTCCAGTGCCACAATCTAATTTTAAATTAGAAACCCCTCAAAAGAAAACTGCCATCCTGGGGAGCTGGGAAGGTGGCTCAGTGGTAGAGCGCTTGCTTTGTATGCATGAGGCCCCGGGTTTGATTCTGCAGTACCACATAAGCAGAAAAAGCCAGAAGTGGCGCTGTGGCTCAAGTGGTAGAGCGCTAGCCTTGAGCTGAAGAGCTGAGGGACAGCATCCAGGTCCAGAGTTCAGGCCCCACCACTGACAAAAAAAAAGAAAAGAAAAGAAAGAAAACAGACACCCACTAATTCACCCCAGATTCCTCCTTCACCTCCCTCCTTTCAATCCTAACAAAAAACTTCTCAGATCTCTCTTCTTTTCTCCTCTCCCCCCCCGCCCCCTCCCCCCTGGCATAGCCTATTCCGGAGCCTGTGCATGCCCATGCATTGGAGGATTAGCTTGTCAAGGCCCAGCAAGTGTCCGCTGGGGCATTGAGAAGGGGGGTAGATGGGTTTGGGGGACTTTAGTCACTTTAGCAATGAATGTTCCAGGCAGAGGCCAGGCCTGCCCTCCTTCCAGGGCTCCTCCCGGATCGCACCTGCTTCCCGCCCTCCTCTTCCTCCTCCCCAGCGCTCCTCCACTGCCCCTGCATCCCGCCTCTCCTCTCCCTCCTCCCAGGGCTCCTCCACTGCCCCTGCATCCCACCCTCCTCTCCCTCCTCCCCAGCGCTCCTCCACTGCCCCTGCATCCTGCCTCTCCTCTCCCTCCTCCCAGAGCTCCTCCACTGTGCCCACATCCCGTCCTCCTCTCCCTCCTCCACAGCGCTCCTCCATAGCGCCCACATCCCACCCTCCTCTCCCTCCTCCCCAGTGCTCCTCCCTGGTCCCCGGGTCTTGCTGTTTGCTGGCTACACGGGGCTCGTTGGCTAATAACGCCCAGGCTTTCTCTCCGTGAGGTCGGTCGAGCCCGTGCACTCTGGCCTTCTCTCTAGACATCTGCCTCTGCTGCGGAAGCTTCCGGGTACACACGCAGCACCCCCTCTTTGTGGGAGGGATGTGCATCCCATGCAAGGTAAGCGGCAAGGCCGGGGAGGGGTCCCCCAAGCTCAGGGCGGGGGGCTGGGGAGGACGCGGGCTTCCTCTGCTCCTGGCCAGGACAAGTTCCTCGAGACCCTCTTCCAGTATGACGATGATGGGTACCAGGGCTTCTGCTCCATCTGCGGCTCGGGGGACACGCTGCTCATCTGCGAGAGCCCGGACTGCACGCGGTGAGCCCCGCACCGCCCAGCCCTGCACGCAGTGCCCAGCCCCGCCTGGCCCTGCACGCGGTGCCCTGCGTCCCCACACCCGTGTCCCCACGCCCACCGCGTCCCCACGCCCACCGCGTCCCCACGCCCATCGCGGACCCCGCTTCCGGTGCTGTGTGTGAAGAGGCCCCCCACACCTCACCCTCAGCCAACACACGGCCGCGCCGCCCTCCTCACCCAGAGGGGGGACCCGGGGCCCTGGGCCACACAGGGACATGGGGGCCGTGGGGGGACATGGGGGACATGGGGGCCGCGGGGGGACGTGGGGACGCGGGGGACGTGGGGGACGTGGGGGACGCGGGGATCGCGGGGACGCGGGGACGCGGTCATCTCCAGCGGCTGCTCACCCCCTGAGCGCGTCCGCGGTCCCCACGCCTCCTTCTGTCCTGCACTGTCCTCCCATTTGCAGCCCACGCCCCCCTGCGCTGGCCGCTTCTCAGACCATGTGGGGGAGAAGGCTTAGGGGGGTTCTGAGCCCACCCCACGGGCTCCCGGCCCCACCCCACACCCAGCCGGGCCCTGCACACCCCGAGCGAGGCTGTGTCCCCGGGAGGCCGCGCGGGCAGCCGCCGCCACGCGGCTCTGTCTGCCTGCAGGTGCTACTGCGTGGAGTGTGTGGACGTCCTCGTGTCCCCGGGGACCGCGGAGCGGGTGCAGAGCATGAGCTTCTGGGTGTGCTTCCTGTGCCTGCCCTTCTCCAGCAGCGGGCTGCTGCAGCGCAGGAGGAAGTGGCGAGACCAGCTGAAGGCTTTCCAGGACCGGGAGGCGGCGGTAAGGCCCTGGGGCCAGGGCTGGCCGGCCTGAGGCCTGGGGCTCACCTTGCTGTGAAAGGCACCCAGCGCTGGGCGGCAGGAGGAAAGCCCAGGCCCCTCGTTTTCTCCTTGGGAAGAAGACAGCGCTAGATGGTCTGTTTCTTAAGAAGAGTCTCCAGGCCCTGGTGGGCTGGTGCTGTCACACGAGCTACTCAGGAGGCTGAGATTGTAGATCGTGGTTTGAAGCCAGTCTAAGCAGCAAAGTCCTTGAGACTCTGAGCTCCAGTAACCACCAGAAAGCCAGAAGCAGAGCTGTGGTGGACACTGGCCTTGACTGAAAAGGCCTGGGACAGCACCCAGGTCCTGAGTTCAAGCCCCACTACCAGCACATTCAAAAATGTCTTAGCAAGGGATTCGCTTCTTACAAGGCAGTTGTTATGGAGGAGGGAGGAGGGGGAGAGGAGAAGGAGGGGGGAGGGAGGAGGGGGAAGGGGGAAGGGGGAAAAGGGGGGAGGGAGGAGGGGGGAGGGAGGAGGGAAGCTGGAGAACCAGCAAGACAGTTCTCTGAGGTCCAGCAGGCCGTGCTGGTGTGGGCCAGCTCCTCCATGTTCCCCCTGGAGGGTGAGGACCAGGCCAGCAAGCCAGGCAGGAACTCTGAGGTCACTGGACACGCAGCAGGGCGGACCGACCCTGGATGATACGCCAGGTCCAGCCAGGGCCCAGGGGTCCGTGACTGACCTCAAGCCGAGACTGTTGGCTTCCAGGGAAAGGACGGAGACCTGGGATAGAGGAAGAGGAGGTGTAGGGGGTGGGGGACAGGGTGCCTGCCCCGAGGCTGGGAGAGGCCGGGACGAGCTTCCCTGCGAGCTTCAGGCCGCGCGGCCCAAGCGGCCGTGCATGCGTGTGCTTGCATGCATGTGCATGTGCATGCGTGTGCATGTGTGCGTGCGTGTGCTTGCGTGCATGTGCATGTGCATGCGTGTGCATGCGTGCCCCCGGCTTAGCCTGCCGTTGAATTGAGACTCCCCAGGGCTGGAGCCTCGCTGCAGCAGCCCACAGCCAGCAGGGGGCAGAGCCGGGCTGTTAACTGCTCCTCGTGCTTGCTGACCGCCCAGCCAGAGGCCAGCGGCCAGTGGCAGGAAAGGGGCAGGGGGGCCCGAGGGTACTTTTGGGCTCAGCTGAGAGTGGCAGCATTTGAGGCTCAGGCCAGCTGCCCACCCACCCCCGGCTCCACTGTGCTGGTGGGTTTGGAGAAGGGGCAGGCCGAGAGGATGCCCTTCCCGACGGGCTGGTGTCCCTGGGCCACCCTGGCCGGGCGGGCTGGCCCTCCTGCCTCTTCCTGAGACCATAGCTGCCGCACACCCGTGTCCGCCTCGAGCAAACAGGCCTCCTTGGCACTGTGTGGGCAGGTGTGCCTGCACCAGGCTGCACACGGGCAGGACGGGGCAGGACAGGGCAGGACGGACGGGGCAGCAGGCCACGCGTGGGTGTCCCGCCAGGCTTGGCAAGTCTCAGTCCATCCAGAACTGACCTCCCTGCCCGTCTTCCCCTGGCATCACCTGTTCTAGGTTCTTCTCCACCCCCCAGTCCATCCAGAACTGACCTCCCTGCCCCTCCCCTCCCCCCCCCTTCAGCACTTCCTTACTTCTTCCCAACAGGTGAATTCCCTGGAGATCTACAAGACGGTGCCCGTGTGGAAGAGAGCGCCGCTGCAGGTGCTGTCCCTTTTTGGGAACATCAAGAAAGGTAAATGCGCCCGTCCCTGGCTGTGGCATCCCGGCCGGGTGTCCTGGGGTCTCTGGGCACCTGGGGCGGAGGGGTCCAAAGGAACCACTGCTGCCCCCCCATTCTCGGCAGAGGACCCCGGGCCTCAGGAAGGAGCATCACAGCCGGAACAATCTGGCCCACGCCAGCGGTGCCTGGAGTGGCGACCTGCTAGACTTCCCTAAGCGAAGGGGCAGCCTCAGCTCCCAGGAGACGAGCTTGTCCTCAGAGAGACGACCTTGGCTCAGCCTGGCGGGTCGCCTCCTGGGCTGTGGCCTCTGATCACCTTCCAGGGTCAGAGCCACAGCCTCGTGTCCCCCAACTGTCCCCTCCCCTCCAGAGCTAACGAGTCTGGGCTTTTTGGAAACGGGTTCTGCGTCCGGGGGAAGAGTGAAGCACCTGGAAGACGTCACAAACACGGTGCGGAGAGAGGTGGGCGGAGAGAGAGAGGTGGGCCCTGTGCAGAGGGGGGGAGAGAGAGAGAGAGAGGTGGCCAGAGAGAGAGGTGGGCCCTGTGCGGGGGAGAGAGAGAGAGAGGTGGGCGCTGTGCGGAGAGAGAGAGAGAGAGGTGGGCGCTGTGCCGAGAGAGAGAGAGAGAGAGAGG